TATTTAAAATTATCTTCTCAGGATGCCTGGGTGGCTCAGTCGGTTAAGCATCTGCCTTCAGCTCAGGTCATGATCCCAGGGTCCTGGGATCAAGTCCCGCATCAGGCTCCTTGCTCGGTGGGGAGCCTGCTTCTCCCTCTGCCTGCCGCTCGCTCCCCCTGCTTGTGCTCTCTCTCTCTGTCAAATAAATAAATAAAATCTTTAAAAAAATTAAAATTAAAAATTAAATTAAAAAAAAAATTTTCTTCTCTCCCATTAGGAGTCTCAACTCTATCATCAGGGCTCATGTTTATCTTATTTACTGTTACATTCCCCAGAGACTAGTCCTGTGCCTAATATAGGTTGGGTATTCAAGTATTGAATGAAATCAGGTTAAATGTAAATCCAGAAACTCCCTTTACGTATTCGGTATACCCAGCAGCTTTTATATTGACATAAAAGGCTACACTTATTGGTTAAACAATCATTTTTATCAAATGTAACTCTAAACTAGGCTATAATCTGCCCACTGGTTTTCACTAAAACAGTGGCTGCTGACCGACCCTTGTTGTAAGGTCTTCTGCTAGATCACAGAAGAATCTACAACCCCACTTCCATTTCCCTCTTCAAGAACTAAGGAGAGGTAAGGAACTCAGGTATGAGAAACTTACAATGTGAAGCTGTAAAAAAAATGGAAAAAGTGGTACATAGTAGGGACAGACTGCCTTCCACTTACCATGACAATTCAGTTTTCCTGAAATTTGAGGAAATAGTTCCCACTAAGTCCAAAAACTCTTTACTGCCTCCTAAGCTTGGTTAGAGAACCTCTATAACCAAGAAAAGGCAATACTGTAGCACAAAGATGCAGCTTACTATAGCGGTTAGGTTCTAAGACTAGCCATTTAAAATTTTTGGACTTTTATTGGTAACTAAATATTTGCAGCATGCATATGCATATATATGCCACCTCCTGCCAAATACTGCAATTAAGAAGCCAAAAGAAATGTCCAGATGATTTCCAATCATTTAAAAGGTCTAGCTATATCTCTGCAAAATTTTGCCATCTGGGCAACCACATCATACGGCAGTCAAGAACTTGATATGCTCATCTTTTAATTCCCCATTTGCCAAACAGTATCTGTTAGAGTCAGTAACTGTACATTATTCCTAATGATCAAACTCACTACCTATTGTTCCTTTCTCAAAAGTACAGTCTTACAAATGAAGTATGCAGAATGCCTATTAACCAAGAAGTTAAAAATTCAGTGAAAATTTGAATTGTATGATAAATGAAAAGTGCTAACTGAAACATAAAGGTACAAATACACATAACACATAATTAAGTTAGTGTAAATATGAAAAGTAACTAGATATTTTATTAATTAGCACAAAAAGTTAATGTTCAAATTATAGCCTGCTCTAAAACTGGCAGCCTGTAGAACGACGCCAGCCTTCAGCGTGTTTCATTTGGCCAGAATAGTGGGTTTTTTGTTTGTTTGCTTGTTTTGTTTTAATGTCAATTTGAGTGCTTTTAGGAAGTATAAGTACTCTGTTTTACCACAAATCCTACCACTTCCAGTTGTATAATACTGAGCCTCATTTATGTTATTTGTCTAACCCTAAAGGTATTTAAATTTGCAAACCTTGCAATTGTAGGTGAAGATGTTTGGCCTCTTATGCAAATTCTGAAATGACTTTGGAAAACACTGAAATAACCATAGTCCTGGACAAGTGCTAATTTTTTTCAGTGATACAAACATCATAGAAAAATAAACAATGAAACATTTTCCTAAGGCAACCTTAGGTTTACCATTCTATTTTCAGAGATTCTCTAGTATTAAAAACACTTCAGGGGTGCCTGGGTGGCTTGGTGAGTCTTGAGTGTCTGACTCTTGATTTTGGCTCAGGTCATGATCTTGGGGCTATGGGATCGAGCCCCCACCAGGCTCCAGGCTCTGCACTCAACGCAGAATCTGCTTGAGATTCTCCCTCTCCCTCTGCCCCTCTCCCTACTAGAGTGCTTGTCTCTCTCCCTCTCTAAAATAAATATAAAATCTTAAAAAAAAAAAAAAAAAAAACTTCAGAAGTCCACTACCCCAATTTTCATCATTTGCCTACTAGGTTCGATTAGAGAACCACTGGGGCCCAGAGAAGCAAAGTGACTTGTCCAGGTCATACAGCCAAGTAACTTGGTTACAAAAGTGTTCTTGAGTTTACTTCCTTCCCCTAGTAAGGTTTTGATTTCGCAAGGGGAAAGATTAGTGTTTCCCATTATTTGGAGACTTTTTCTAACACTCCACTCAGCAAGCATTCAACAAGTGGTACTGAGATTTGCTCCCAAGGGATGAACTCAGTTCTTGTTTATAAATAATCAGAACCCAATTTACACAATGTTCTATGTCAATTATATCTTAATAAAGCTGGAAATAAATAAACAGACAAATGGCTAGAACCCAGCTAAAGTCAAGTAGAGAGAACAGATTCCTACTCAGCAGTGACAGTATTTGTTGAATGAATGAAGAAATAAATGCAACTTTAGTTCAGTGGGTATGCTTGTAGTCAGGGGCTTTCAAATGGATAAAGGAGCTAAAGGCACAACAATGGACAAACCTTCACCTTTCATAATAGACACTAGCCTTAAATAAGACCTTTTCACATGGAAAAAAACAGGTTCATAATCCAGTTCCATAATGCCTGATTAAGCCAAAATACAGCATTTTCCCAGGCTAGCAAATCACCAAATCCTTTGTTAAATAATAAATCCATCCCCATGATACTTAAAGTTTTAGGGTATAGCTCAGACCTGATTCAAATGTTTTGCAGAGTAATTCACAAACACATTACTTCAGCATTTCTTCCACATCTAAGCAGAATATCAAAACCCACCATTCTTAGGGCAGTGAAAATACACTGTATAATATTAAATGTTAATATGTCGTTATGCATTTGTCCAAATTCATAGATTTACAGCACCAAGAGTGAGCCCTAAGGTAAACTATGATGTGTCACGACGGGTTCATCCTTGGTTTAAAAAAAAAAAAGTACCATTATGGTGAGTGATGTTGACAATGTGGGAAGTTATGCACGTGTCGGGGCAGAGGCATATTTGGAAAATCTCTATACCTCCCTCTAAATTTTGTTATAAAGTTAAAGATGTTCTAAAAATATTGTCTTTAAACAAATAAATTAATTTTAAAGGAAAAAAATATCATTCTGCAATATTCTTTTCCAAGTATAGCCTACATCAGGGCTCAACAATTTGCAACACCCATGCCCTTGCCTGGGTAGCTTCCAATAATCTTTGGAAGCCTCCACATTCCAATGCCAAGCAGGGCTGCAGGTTCTTAGTTATTGCCTACTTTCCCTTTGCTTGTTTCTTTTTTCTTTTTTTAAGACTTTATTTATTTGAGAGAGTGAGAGAGCATGAGCATGGGGGAGGGGCAGAGGGAGAAGTACTCCCAGCTGAGCAAGGAGCCTGACACGGGGCTCAATTCCAGGACCCCTGGGATCACAACCTGAGCCGAAGGCAGACGGTTAAACAACTGAGCCAGCCAGGCACCCACCCTTTGCTTGTTTCTTAAATTTTCATTAGCAGGATCAAGGTTAATGTGGGTGGAAATTCTCGTACCTGGACCAGATTCTTCACTTTCATCTTCTATTCTTAGCCATATCATCTTCCAACTAAGTTCACACGTTGTGAAAAAATTTTTGCTACCTTTCCTGCTTCTTTTTACATTTCATGTTCTACATTTGTTTTTTATTTTTTTCTTTCACCCTTTCATTAGACAGAACACACAAGCTCAAACATATCCCCCTGCTTGTTCTTTGGGAAACGGGCAAATGGTGCTTGTACTCAGCCTAAGATAAATAAAGGTCAGAGAAACTGAACACAGGATAAGGGTAGGGAGAAAATGGTTAAGTTCAGCACTGGGGACAACGGGGAGTAGAGGTTAAGAAAGAAGCAGCCATGATCTGCAATTCTGTTTTGATTTTCACAACAGTCATCCTTTCCAGGTAGGAATGTCAAAATTTCAAGAGGACAAAATGTATAACTCTGAATTTAAGGTGTTTTCTCTACGGTAGAGTATAACTGTGAATTGGGGATGGGAGGGAGGTGGGCTACTTCAGATACTGGGAAAGCTACAGTAGAAAGCTCCTATATGCACAAGAACACTTGCTGGTATCGATCTTATCCCCACACATGTGCAATCTGAGCATGTGAGGGCATTAATGGCCCCTGGAGCAAACCCTTGCCAACAGGGTCAGGGGCCAGGGGATAAATGCTCTCCATCTCAGGTGCATTCAAATTGCTTCCTAAAAGATCCTGGTAGTTTTCAGCCCAGTTGCCCACAATGGTGACCTACTAAATAAATATTCTCACAGCAGCTTTTTCTCCAGTTTCATTTTCCCAAACCCCCACTACTGGTTCCTGATAATCTCAGGCTAGCACTGAGAGAACTAGCACTATGCAGCAGCTTTCTCAATATCTGAGGCCCACTCCTTGTCTCAGGACAGAAATCCAATACTTCAAGGAAGAGCATGCAGGTCTAGTACCATTTCCACACACAAGTTGGACAAAAGAGAGAGAAGAACTTATATGGAACCATGGCCTGGTTACATTTCTTGATGTGAATGTAATGATGTAAAGTGTAAAGGTGTCCCTTTAAAACTGGGACAGGCCATTTGAGAACAAAAATCATAATCAAAACTCGCTATGCTCTTTTCCATGGAACTCCTGCAAGGACTCACCACTGAATCTTCACAATGTGCCTGGAATGATGAAAATACTAATATACAGTTGAGTCTTGAGCAATGCAGGGGTTTGGGCGCCGACCCCTCCCACACAGATTTATACCATACATGATATACATCTCTGTATCCATCCCCTTCCCCTAGGGGAGTTGGATGGTAGGAATAAGAATCTTTTAAAGTCTGTATACTGCTAAATTGTGCAGGAATAAAAGTGGGCTGCTAATCTTCATCAGCCAGCTGAGGAAGGCAAGTGCAAAAGATTCACTCACACATCATTGAATTCCTCCAGAGACCTTGCAGGTGTAAAAACATCCAACAGACCAATCACCTATAAGAAAACAGAAAAATCAAGCAGTAAATAAATATAGAACTATAATACCCATCAGGTCTTAAACATTTTAATAAGAACTGATTTCAAATCCCACTATCTCATACACTTAGCTGAAACTTATTTTTTCACCCAAATTATGCTTTTGACTTTTACTTATTAGCATCACTTCCCAGAATAACATATTTTACCATTAAAAACATCATTTCTCTAGAATTTGCTCACATATAGCCATTAGTTTATCAGGAAGCAAAAAGATTTAGGGCTCTTGACTTACACATGCACTAACAGTCTAATGATGAACAAGCAGAAAAAAGTCACACTTCAACAGCTATTACTATAGTATCTTTTTTCTTCTTTAAACTCTTATTATCCCATGAAAATTTTCCACATGTAGTCTTCAAGACTGACTTTTTTTTTCCTTTAGAAAGGACTGACATTTTTGAGCCCCAAAATATTCTCTTAGTATATTCTTGGGGTTATTCTTATAATATTCTTAATATTCAGATACTTTTCTTAATCATCATCAAGTATTTAGATCAGACTATTTAAAAATGGGGGGGGGAAAGGCCATCCTTATACAAGGATAAAGCAAAAACTACTTAATACTCAGTAATCCATGGTCTTTGAGCAGTTTTTCTGGTCATGGAGTTATACTGACTAATCCATATATACCACCACCATTCCCCAACCACCGCCAGTTACTCCTAAAACCAGAGTTAAGAATATCTGGAAACGAAACAAACAAAAGCTAAATGGCCTTCATGAACACTGGCCCATGCCTGGGCCGCATTAGCACGCTGTTCTAACCTAGCAAGTTAAATGAACAGCCCTGAAAGTAAAATATACCAATGCTCAAAACATTATCAAAAAAAAGAACACTCTTAATTAGAATGTTACTCCACTCATCTAACTATCAGACTTTAAAAAGCAATTTCAATTATACAGCCTGAACCCAAATGGGAAACAAGCCAACAACAACAACAACAAAAAGACCTTGGAAGTCAAGGAGAATAGCTTTTCAAGACTTTGCACCTTATTCCAAAGGAAAGGTACAGTTATCCGTAAGATCATTACCCAGACAACTGTATACAAGAAAATAAAAATTACTTATAATTGCACTACCTATTATAACTATCATTAACATTCTGAGATATTTCCTTTGATGTTTCTGATGTATGTAAATTAAAGTTGGGATTATACTCTGCATAGTTTTATATCCTGCCTTGTCACTTACTACATAATGACTGTATCTTCAAATATTTTTCATGCTCTACCATTTGTATATACCATAATTTAACCAATTTCCTATCTTTGGACATTTAAGGAACACTGCAAGTGTGTGTGCACACGTATGTGCATATGCATATGTACATGTGTAATATATATTTTGCACATCTTGTATTTCCTTCCAGAAAATAAATTTCAAGAAACAGAATTATAGCATTAAAGGACACCAATATATTTAAGGATCTTAATATTGTCAAATTGTCCTACATAAAGGTGAAGTCAGCTTACATTCTCAGCAACAGTGGATCCCTGACCTTACAACAGCTCTGAGTTGTGCTTTAAATCTAAGTCAAATCATTTTATTTTACCTTCACCTTTTACCTTCACCATAATTGTCTTCCTTGAGTTTGATATACTCCTGGCTTAGACCTCTGGTCTTTTGATTACTCTCCCCATCCCCACTTGCACTTTAGGTAACTGAGATCTAGAAGCCAATTTTATTCCAATATTTTCTAAACATTGATTCTTGTTATGTGAGATGCCTCATCTTCCCAATACAACAGAAAAAGTTTAAAACAATTTACATTATTTCAATGGTGATTGTGAAATTCCTCAGATTAAAGTAAATCACTAGAGATCAATTTACATAGGATTTTTCATGCAAGAGTTACCTCAAAGACAAAATAAAGTAAAACAAAATAAGTCCAAAACATTTCCAAATAACAGCTCCAACTTCAATTTGAAAACACAAGCATTTTAGAATCCAAGAGCTGTAAGTCTGAACTCCACAGTCAGTTTGCGATTTCTTAGTTCCATGATTTTACGTCTTCTTCAATCCAATAATCCCAGCACTTGGAATAGTGCCTGGCACACAGTACTTCAATTAATATTTTGTTAAATAAATGAAAGAAAGGTATCTTCTCCAAGCTTCACTTCCTCATACAGAAGAGAAGAGGATGCTTATTTTTATCGCATTGTGGGGAAGATTAAGTCAACAATGTAACTGAAGGTGCCTAGCCCAAAGGCCTGACCCTCTGTTGATTACCAGAATAAGTGGTGATAACAATCCTTAAGTTTTATAAAGAATTACAAAATACAAAGCACAGAAACAAACTATTTGAAGCAGCTGCTTCCAGTACAAAATTTGAGATACAAAGCTAAGCTAAATTATTCAAATGATTAAGAAGCATGACTGCCAGAAACACAATAAACTAATGTGGAAAATAATAGAGCAAGCATGTTAGTAAACAGCCTATCAAATTTTAATTTCCTAAAAAAGACACATTTTATGAGATTAAAACTGCCCATGTTACATCAAAGTATTTTTAATTTTTTGTTGGCTTTTACAAATATCCCTTCTCCATTAATTGTATTTATGGAGTATTCATCAAAAGGAAAATACTGTAAAATAAAAGTTTCCCAGCATTAGAATAGGTCTGGAGAACTTTTAGGAATATTCCATAATCTATTCATTTCTCATTTCTTAAATGGAAATTTCCTTTTAATTCAAGTTATACTTTAGCCTATTTCTTTATTCCTTTTGCCATTATATACTTTCAGACACCCAAAAGTAACCCAGGAATCAATTATTTAGAAAAGACATTTATAATAGAAATAATCAGCAAATGCCTCTGATGATTGTCCTACAATGGTCCAAAAGCTGACAGAAGTAACACATTTTTACTAAATCGGCACATACTCAAGAAAAAAATCCACTTTAACTCAGTCACCAAAGACAGTATCTAATGTATTTAACACAAGTGCACCAAAACAATGACTTGGTCTACCATGGTAGTGTTAAATCTAAGGCTCCCAAATAAAATTTATGAAAGGATTCCTTGAATATTTTTAAATTTCAAAATGTACAGATCTCCAAGCCCTTAAGTCCAGGCAATCTTTGTAGCACCTATCCAGAAAGCAAAAAGATGCAGCGGGCAGGCTGCTTCCCTTTCATCTTTCCTGAGAGCAGGTTTTAATGAGATCAAGGTCACAAGTTCAATCAGGAATGCACCAGCTAACTCTGTTCATCGAGGAACTCTTACAGGCACGGAGGACATACCCCTAGCTCCTATTACTCATCTGGTAAGTATGTGTCTGACATTCATTATCACTAATAAAAGAATTAACTTAAGATGAACCACTGATTCTGAGTCAGGCATTTTTGTGTAAAAGATCACATGTGCACTCGGCACCTAGAAATTATATTTGTTACCAATACTTAATATTGTCAAGAGTTTTAAGCTGCTGCTGTTTTTGAAGTCCTAGTGGCTAGCTAAAAATTGTACAGTGGCCCAAAAGAATCATTCATTCAAAAGATTTTATTTTTAAGTAATCTCTACACCCAACGTGGGGCTCAAACTCACAACCCTGAGATCAAGAGTCCCAAGATCTACTGACTAGGCCAGCCAGGCGCCCCCCAAAAGAGTCATTTTTTTTTGGATTTTATTTATTTATTTGAGAGAGAGAGTGCGTGCATGTGCACGCACGAGTGGGGGGAGAGAGAGGGAGAAGCAGGCTCCCCGCTGAGCGAGGAGCCTGATGCGGGCTCGATCCCAGGACCCTGGGATCATGACCTGAGCTGAAGGTAGACACTTAACGGACTGAGCCACCCAGGCACCCCCAAAAGAGTCATTTTTGAAAAAGAAAGAGGAATATGAAGGAGAGGAACGCCTCTTAAAATCCTCGATTAAACTTATTTGGAGGTCTTGGCTCTTCCCTGGGTAAAACTACTTTTACAATTTGAGCTCCTAACAAGTGTTTGTGGAATAGGCTGATATTCAGGAATTTTCCTATATTGAGTCAAAGTCTATTAGCCCCTAACAGAACAGAGAACTATAAAACATTCAGCCATATGCCTTCTTTTGTTCAAAACCAAATTATCGATATTTAAGTACAGATGACCCTCCATATCAATACTGCTAAAACCTAAACATGTTAACATGAAAAGGCCAAATGCTATTAAGCAAGCTGCATATGAAACAACTTATGTAAATTAAAATCCTGTGTTCCTAATACTATCAGCTCCCCTTTTTTTAAAAAAGATTTATCCATTCATTTTAGAAAGAGAGAGAGAGAACGCAATGAGGAGGGTCAGAGAGAGGGGGAGAGACAGTCCCAAGCAGACTCCCTGCTGAGCATGGAGCCCAACACAGGGCTCAATCCCAGGACCCCAAGATAACGACCTGAGCCAAAACCAAAAGTCAGACACTTAACTGTGCCACCCAGGCATCCCATCAGCCCCTTTTCTTTTTTTTTAAAGATTCTTGTAGCCCTTCCTAAATTAGAACAATCATATCCCATCACTGTGGCCTCTTCATTTCTACAGATACAGAGTGACCCAAATGTAACCAGCCTAATACCATATAAGACACATTTTGAAGCATCTTATCACAGAAAATTAAAGCAAAATAAACTAAATAAGCTTGTTTCTTATGATTACTAGAAAAGCTAAGGCATGGAGTCAGATAACCCAAAATAATCTTTGCCCTAAACATTGGCTTAAATGGTCTATGAAGAGAAGCAGAACAATAAAGTACAGTGCTGGTAATCTAAACCAGATGTTCAGAAATGAGCACTGGCAACATCAGTGGGATCCCAGGGCCTCCTGAAAGTGCTTTGGGGTTCTATAAGTGTTTCGCTTGCATTCCATTTTCAAAGTTTTATTTATTTAAAGAGCTACGATAATGTCTTTGTCACATTTATTAATGTGTAATGAAAAACAGCATACACACTCAACTGTGCTAAAAACCAAATGTAAATGCATCAGTTAAGCTGCCAGGACACCTTGATTGTATGCAGACCTTGGAATAAAGCTTCTCCTGGTAGCTTTTTCCATAGATCTCAACTTCGTGTAAACATGTCACTGATTAGGAAGGCTGTAGCACTGCACTGAACTTTTTAAAAACTCAGCTTTGTACATGGATGATCATAAAAATTATACCTAGGAATAGAAACCTCTATTTCCTGGGGAAAACAGAATTTGCTCAATAGTATGCAATTAAAATAAACCATGAAAATAAATAAGCTATAGCTGTGATTACAACAGCATGGGTTATCCAATTCCAAATTCAAGTCTCAATGCTCCCAATTTAGAAGAAATTTATACCCTGTGAAACAAGTGTATATTAATAAAGTATCACTGATCTGCAATTTAAGAAAATTTTTTTAAGTTCAATTATTAAAACAGAAAAGGCCTGAATAGCCAAATAATAAATTTAGACATTCTGAATTTTTTTCTACACAGTAACGATCGATAGGGTCAAATGACTCTAAAATCTCTACAGCCATTGTTTCCACAATGATACAAATTTTACAGTTCCTTTCATATGGCAATCACATAAATTCTTTTTAACTTGATTTTGAAATTTAGGAAAATAAGTTTCCTCCATTAATTGTTTTTTCACTTTCAGCTAATAGTCCAATTGCATCCTTTTATTTACTGTATTAGGATTTTGAAGCACTCCTTTGCAGGATGGCATTGCTCTCAAATTTCCAAATTGACAGAAAAGAAAAAGTTATATTTAACTTAAACAATGTCTTTGTCACATTTATTAAAATACCTGAATCTGGAAAAGCTGTCTTAAAAAAGATTAAAAAGGAAAATTATAATATTAAATTATCTATAAATTAATAGTCACCTCAATAAGACATTCAGTGAATCTAAGGCATGCTGCCTCAAACTTCCCCACTGAAAGAACCCATAATAACACAAAATAGCCTTGGACTCCCATATTCGGACACTACAGCCTTAAGTAAATCCAGTAAAGAATGCAAAATCCAAAATTTATTCTTCTTGCATGAATAACTTACATTTTCATGTTTCATATGTTTAAGTAACCGCAGTTCTCTGTAGGTCCTTTTGGCATGAATAATGGACTGAAATGGTCTGGAGAGCTTCTTCACTGCCACACGTAACCCGGTTTTTGTGTCAAAAGCAGCACTTAAAAAAAAAAAAATAAAGAATTCATCATTGAATGTGCTCTAAATACTTCAAAATTAGTATTTACAAGGAAGGCTATTTCATTTCCAAATTAAATGGGTTTATAACAAAATACAAACAAAGTATAAAGATAAAAACTATAACGACCTATAATCCCACTATCCAAAGTAACATTTTAGTTTTGGTGTCTCCTCATTTTTTTTTTTCTATGCATCTAAATCAGGGATCAGAAAATTTTTTCCATGAAGGGCCAGAGAATAAATATTTTTGGCTTTGTGAGGCTTAGGGTCTTTGTCACAACTACTCGACTCTGTGGTTATAGCCAGAAGGTAGCCAGACAATAAATTTAAAAATGGATGTAGCTGTGTCCCAATTAGCACAAAAACAAGCAGCCACTTGATCTACATGAGCCAACAGACTGATATACAAAGAGCTGGATTCTGTCTTCTCTGCCTTAGGCCTTACTGTCACCTTGCCACCAAATGCTGCCTGATCAGAGTGGAGGGCTTGGAAGGATTTCAGGACAATGAGTTGGCACAAAAATTTCTTGAGTGCCTACAAAGTATCTGCCACTCTTTAGAAGCTAAGATATAAGAAGGACAAGTCAATAAATCCCTGTCCCCAAGGGATAGGGGAGAGGGGATGAGCAGAATAATACAATAATTTCAAATAGTGATGAATGCTATGACTAAATAAAACAGAATAATGGGACAAATGATAGAAAGCCGGGGGGGATGCTACTTTAGCTAGGATGTCTGAGCAAGTAGGTTCAAGCTGAGACAACTGAATGATGAGAAAGCAGCAACCATGTCAAGGTATACAGAAAAAGAGCTTCAAACAGAAGGAAAAAATAGTATTATTAACATTTATTTAGTTTTTACTGCATACCAGTAACTGTTCTAGGCCCTTAACGTTAATTTTTAAAATTAAAATAAGTTTTAATCCACACCACCACTACGAAGGAAATGCTATTATCATTCTCCCACTCAGAAATGAGGAAACGGAAGCACAGAGACGCTAAAGAACTTGCCCACGATCACAAAGCTAGAAAGTGGCAGGAGGAGGGAATCTGGATCCACAGCTCATGCTATTAACCACTTTGCCATGCTGTCTCTCAGAAGAGCAAGTGCAAACAGAGAAAAGAAAAAACAGAGGTAGAAAAAATATGGCATGCTGGAGGGCGTAAAGATGGCCTGTGTAGGTGGAACACACAGAGCAAGGGGAGAAGAGAAAAGAATGAGGTCAGAGGTACAGGCAGAGGCTAAATCATGTAGGACAACTATAGCAAGAAACTTGATGTATTTTAATTATTTTTAGAGACTGGGCTAATCCAATCATGCCTCATCCTCCTGTTTATCTCAGGCTCTAATGGGCATCCAAGACCTCCGGATCATCTATCATGACCAAACTCTTTCCCATGTGACTCTGTACTTGTTCCAGAAGTTCCCCTCCTTTCCCTTCCAAATCCTTAGACTACGTCCTCGCTCTTCAACTCCCAATTTGGTATTAACTCCTATAAATCTTCAACCCCCTTTCTGAGCCCTCCCTCCAACTCTTTAATTGAAACTAGGCTCTACCTTGAAGACACTACTTCTCTTACAGCCCTGCCCTTAAGAGGGAATTCTCTCTCGTATCTCAGGTACCTCGTGGCCAGCAGGTGGGGCAGATGTCCTCCTCACCAACCATTCCTACTTCCAGACTATGATTCTCCATTTGTATTACAAAAGCCCCTGCTCACAGCTATCACTACCTCTCTGCTGCTGTAATCCACTGACCTGGAATTTTCCATTATTCACTGTAAAGTTAGTTCCTATCTCAAAGTCTCTCCCCACTCCCAGCTTCTGTCATCACTCTTGGCAACTTCAATATCCAGGTGGAGGACACATCCAACATCCTGGCCTCTCAGTTTCCTGACCTCTCCAGGAAACTCCACCTCATCCAGCCTCCAGGGTCACGCCCTGGACCTCTATCAACACCAAAAGCTGCCCCGCCTACACAATTTTGAATGCCAGCACCCATTTTCCATCACAAACCTTCTATGCCTTTCAGTTTACTTCTAGTATACTTGTACCCTGACTATAACGATTTGTTGACCTCATCATCATTGGCTGATTCTATCCTTCAAGCCCTCTCCCATCTTCATTTCCCTTCTTGCCTGGCTTAGACTACATGCTCCCTTGTGTCTCTGTCTTTGCCTCTTGTCTCCTACACTCACCTGGATAAAGTCTAACTTTGGGTGATCTCAACTATTTAATTCTCCTTGTCTGAATCCAAGAACTAATTGTGGTTGAAGAAAAAAGAATGTACAACCATACAGACTGGTTTCATTCTTAATTTCTGAACTTAACGTCAAATAAGGCTCTCAAAACTGCCGGTTTTTTCTAGGAAGTGCATTTTCTTACTCATTTGACACTGTCTCTCTTCTCAAACCTCCAATTCACCCTCTTCCTTAAAAGTTGCCCCTGCCTTCATCAAGAAAATAGAAACCAGCAAAAGGAAGCTCCATCTGCCTATGGGTAAATCTACAAACCCATCTGCACTTGGACCTATTTTCTCTGCTTCCTCTTTTGCTGTAACTAAGGACACATGCCCTTTCTTACAAAAATCCGAGACCTCAATACATGCTCTGGAGCCACCTCCCTTATCCCCTCAAGGACTTCACTCCTTCATTCCCTTTCTCCCTTCTAAGTTTCTCCCTATCTTCTGGATCATTCTCATCAACATAAATATGCTCAAGTTATTGCCCAACCTCAACAAACAAAAAATTTCCCTTGAAAGCTCTCCACTACAGCTAAAATTCTCCAGTGGTTCTCAACAGTGTGGTTCCTAGACCAACAGTATTTGTGTCACCTGGGGATTGATAAGAAATGCAAATTCTCAGGTGCTACCCCAGATCTACTAAATTGGAAACTGAAGTGGGTAATTTGTATTATCAAACCCGCCCCATAATTCTAACACACGGTTAAGTCTGAGAACCACTAATCTATACCTCTGCTCCTCCACAGACCAGCAGCATTGGCACTATGGGGGAGCTCTTTAGAAATGCAGAATCTCAGTCCTTAAAGTAGAATCTACATTTTAACAAGACCTCCAAGTAATTCATATGTATCTTAAGGTTTGACTCATTTCCTCAGCTCCCATTCTTTCCTCAATCCTACACTGAAACTGCTCTTCTCAGGTCATTAATGACCTGTTACCAAATCCAACGGCCACTTTCCTGGATTACCAGTTGACATGGTTAACATTTCCCCTTTCTCTAAACACTCTCCATTCTGGAGTCCATATCAGCACATTCTACTGGTTTTCTGTGACCTCTATGGCAGCTCCCTCTCTGACGCCACTGCCATGTGGTCCCTCTACTTGGAACTCTGTTAGTTCCTCAGGGCATGACACTGGGCCCTCTTCTCTCTCCCACATTCTCCTAGATGATTTCATCTATATCCAAGACTTTAAATTAAATGCCATCTTATATAGAAAACTTGCAAATCTATGTCTCTCACTGAAATCTCTTCTCTGAGCCTGACTGCCTACCTAACATCTCCACATGAAAACCACATAAGCACCTTAAAACTTAGCAAGTGCAAAACACCTAGAACTATTCCTCTCTCTGTCTCCTATATCTCAATAAATGGACTTTCCAGCCAACTGCTCAAGCTAAACATTTGAATATCATCCTTGATTTCCTCCAGCCTCCTGGCCCCCATCCAAATCAGCAAGTCTTATCATTTCCATCTCCAAAATACATCTCTAATTCAACTTCTCTTCATTTCACTGCTACCATACTGGTCCACAACATCCTCATCACCAGCCTGCCTTCTTATACTGGTCTCCCTGCCCCTGTTTTGTTCCCTTCTTATATACTCTCTACAAGCATCCAATTCAATCTTTTAAAAATATAAATTAGATGGCAACACCCACTGCTTCAAATCCTTCAAGGAATTTCCTTGGCATATAAAATAAAATGCAAATTTCCTATCATAGCCTATAGGCTCAGGTGATATGACCACCAATGACCACTCCATCTTGCTCCTGTACTGCTCCTTCCTTTCCCTCAGCCACTACGTTTTGAACATGCTGGCTCCTTTTAGTTCCTTAAATTCTTCAACGGGCTGTTTCTGGTTCCTGAGCTGCCCTTCTCTCCCATCTCTACTCCACCCCACAGCTGAATCCTTATCCTTCAAGCACTGGTTTAAATTGCCATCCTCCTCGAGATTATCAACAGGTCTCAGTTATTCTCTGTCACAACACCCTCCTTGTTTCCTTCCTTATCCTACATAAACAGAGAGGGGTGTACTCCCCTCTCCCACTCCTGTTCCTACAAACCCATAAAATAGTAACTCCTTCCCTCTTGGAAGTACCAAGTAAATGTATACTCTTCTCTTAACTCCTCAATGGCTCTACTGAGACAGAAAATGACCACTGCCATGTGACCTATCCTCAACTCTCCACCTCAGTTTGCCTGTCCACCTGCAGGCTGAGCATGTTCCCCTCTCCTCTGCTGGTAAGCCCTTTGGGACCTCCTGGAACAAGGAATGTCATCAGGTTTCTAGCTGACCTGCCCATGACTGAATGTGCAAGTTCAATTCAGTGGGGAAAAAATAAGAAGCCCATTTGAGCTGCCTGTCCAAGCCATTCTCCATGCCAGTTGTACAGTAATAAAGTACATATTTTTATCTCTGACTCCTATATCTATTTAGAGAAAGGCAGGCTAGGGTTAATCAGTACCCTACCCCAATAATCACAATTTATTACTATATGTTTATTTACCACCCAGCAGAGTGGTTAAATAAAGGCTGAGGCTTTGGTATTAGACTATCTGGTTTCACTTCAGTTCTGCCACTTAGCAGCGGTATAATCTTGACAAAGTTAATTAAATTCTCTCAGCCTCATACATAAAATGAGGATAAGGTATATATCTAATAAGGAGAATGCTTGTTAAGATTAAAGGGGATAACTTTTGTAGTAGTTTTAGCAAAAGGGCCTGACCCATAGTAAAGTTT